TCAAAACATAGTCATACTTTTCTCTTGTAATAATCATATACAATTGGCCATTGTTTTAATCCCTATTACAAATGGGATGCTGAGAGCTTATCTTAACAATGAGTTTTCAGCTGAGGTAAAATTTAAATAAGAACCAAATACTTATTTAATGGTCCTAGCATTAAATCTGTGCTCCATCTCAGGCAGCAAGTGCTAGGTGTCATGAAAGTGCAGGAAATTACTGTTTAATTTCTTATTACCAGGTGTGTGTGTTTTCTTTTTACTGCTGAGGACGGTGTGGAGAGGTACTAGTGGGATTTTCTGCCTCTGATGCCAGAGAATTGTGTCTTACTTTGAACACTGTGCATTTCAACTTGGGGAGGAATGCTATTCTTATTCAGGCAGTAAAATGTCTTGAGTTATTTATTCCCCCTTTGTGACGTACTGTAGTTTGTTTCTAGCACAGAACAAGTGAGACCTGGAGTCAAAAGCAGGTCACTAAAGCCACTTGGCCTACTTAGTCTTTCCCTTACAGCAAGATGAGGGATACCACGAAGCTATAGGAGATGGGAACCCAGCATTAAGTAGTGGACTAGGACCTGGGTTCAATTCCCCACTCGTCCATGAAAACTCACTGTAGGTCAGATGCAACTTCATAGCATAAAGCCTTAGGAGAGGGACTCAGAATGGGGGACAATCCATGCAACTGGTGGGACCCACTAAAGCAGTGGTTCTTTCTTAACCTTGAGTTACTGAGGTGTTTTTGGACTGCAACTCCCAGAAGCCTTCACTACCAGCTGTGCTTGCTGGGGTTTCTGGGAGTGGCAGTCCAAAAACACCCGAGTAACCCAAGGTTAAGAACCACTGCACTAAAGCACTATCTCATAGAGCAAATGGTGCAGCCAACCAAGAAACCGAAGGCCAGGTTCAGTTCTGGGCCCTGAGGTCTCCACTGTTGAGGATTTTTTTAAAAAAAGAGGAAACAATAAGCCATGTACATTGCCTCAACATTTCAGGCTTCACTTCATATAGGATCCAGTTCTTTCATCTCTTGGGCAGCCCCTCAGACCTCTCTTCCAACAACACATGGGAGTTACTGTCCAGTAAATTCATTCTGGCTCACTTCTGACAACACACCATGTACTATGTGCAAATGACACTGGAGCCAGAGCAAGACAGTTCATTGTTTGTATCATCAAAAGTTTTTCTGAGCATACCAGTCCCTATTATGTAAACCCAACACGATGCTGAAATTACGCAGAAAGAAAAGAAACCAGAGAGTAGAAAGCGTGCTCGGCCATATTCTCTTTCGCAACTGTTAGGCTTTTGTTGCTGGCGCTCAGGGTTGCGTGGGAAGGGGACGGAAACATCCCTTCCACTCAGGGCCATATTGTCGGACGAGGTTTCCCTCTTCTCCCCTGCCTTTCTTTCGCTCGCTCTCGCTCAGACGGGCGGTGGCAGCCGCCCCGCCCGGCCCTTGCTTCCTCCAGGCAGTGTCATTAGTGCAAGCAAAGTGGAGCTTTCCTTTCTTCTGTCGTAATCTCCGATGACAACCGGATCCCGCTGGTTCTTGAGGCTCCTTCCTGCAAAAGTCGTTTTGCTGAAGAGAAGGCGACACCCTCCAGCGCCATATCACAGAGCCGGGGCGTGGGAGGGGGGCGCGCACTTGGGTGGCTAAACGGGAGGAGCGTGCCTTTCCTTTGTTGGGCTCACAGCTGGATTCCGCGGGGGGGGGGCTTTCCCAAGGAAGGAGGTCAGTGGGTTTCTCAGGCCGAGGGGGCGAAAGCGCGCCTCCCTCTTGCCCCTCCCCGCTTCCCGCCGGCTCCGGCTTGGGCCTGGCCCCACCCTCTTCGCGCTCTCCCCCCCCCTCGCCGAGAGAAGGCTCTCGCCAGGCCTCTCGCGTCCTGCCCATATAAGGCCGCGCTTGTCACAACGCACCATAAATAGCGGTGATGGCGTCACCACCTGCCTGTGGGCGGCTGAGTTTGTCTGGGGCATCTTTCCAGCCCCGCCGTACCCTGCCTGTCCGCGCCCCCCCCCTCACACGCCTGCCTCTAGTTCGACATCCTCACACGCTCCCCCACCTCCAGTTCCAGAGCATTTCTCTCAGAAGCTTGTCTAGACGCGCCTGACAGACGTGCTGTTGTATGAATCGCCCTTAGCCCTCGGTAAAGAAGAGGGTTAAGATGTGTATTTAGGGGGGGAAAACTCACAGAGGGCTCTGCCAGGTCGAACATTAGCAGGGCCAGCCTCGGACTCTGTGCGGCCCGAGGCAGAGCAGTAACTAGTACCCCTCACGATGAGTTCAACACGCAGTAGGAGGCAAAGATTGCCAGTTGTTTAGGCACCTGAGCTGAAAGTTTGCCCATAACACTCCCCCTCCATATCATAAAAATACAGTAATAGATTAAATCAAATTATTTCCTGTCCTTTTTTGACACTCCACATCTATTGCCTGAGGCAGAGGCCTATCTCTGCCTAATAATATGGCTGTTACCTGAAATATTTGTGTTCTTTCTTTAGCTCTTCTAGTGAAATGGACTGCACAAAAATATGTGCTCTATGTGTGTGTGTGTGTGTTGCTCGTCAAGGTACAACAAAAGTCTTAGGACCAGACTAAGGAGGATGCTTCAGCAAATCCATAATAACTTCCTTTGTTCTTATTCCTCCACCTCCACAAATCTAAAGCTGGCTTGCTAAAGATAGGAAGCAGTAACCTTCATTTGTGCCAAGTGACAAAAGGTGCTAGTTTCAAAATTTGTCAGTTCAAATTAAAGCTAATTCCCAGAAATTTCTAAAACAAACCTGTCCATAATAACTTCCTTTGTTCTTATTCCTCCACCTCCACAAATCTAAAGCTGGCTTGCTAAAGATAAGAAGCAGTAACCTTCATTTGTGTCAAGTGACAAAAGGTTGCTAGTTTCAAAATTTGCCAATTCAAATTAAAGATCATTAACAGAAGTTTCTAAAACAAACCTGTCACTCTTGTGTCTGAAGAAGTGGACTTGTCCAGGAAAGCTCACATTAAAATATAGGAGTGACACAACATTTTTTAAGGTGACACAACATTTTTGTCTTTATTTTTTATTGTTTTTCTCCTGACATACCTGTCAGAGTGGTTAGAATCATGGGGAACCTGCAACCTTCCAAATGTTCTCAGACTTCAGTTCCCATAATCTCTGACCTCTTGTCATGCTGGCGAGGGCTGATGGAAGATGGAGTCCAAGTATTTGTGGAAAACCACAAATTGCCTATTTCAGATTTAGATCATAAGACTGAGGAAGCCAAGTTTAAATCCTCTCCAGGCCAAGGAAGCTAAATTAATGAGTTTGGGCTGGTCACCATCTTTCAGCCTTACCTATTTCAGAGGTGTTTTGTTTGTTTTGTTTTGTTTACTCTTTGTTTTATTTTGCTAGGATCAAACAGAAGGAGGAAGACTATTCAGTCTCAAGAGTATTGGGATGTCAGTGTATTAAACAAAGAACATGGCTAGAATTGATACAAAGAGAGTCCCATTACCCATTATACAAAATCTCCTTAACTCTTTTTTTTGGGGAGGGGGAGGCAAGTTTACTTGTGCATCTTCTATTGAGCTTGTATAGTTCACTGGATTGGGGTGCTTGAGATGGGAGATCAAATCTCCACTGTGCCTCGTGGAAAGAGGGGCCAGCTGAGCTCACTTGGAATGTCTGTGACCCTGGGCAAGCTGCATAGCCCCAAAGTGGCACCACCAGCAAGAAACTACTTGAAAGCACCCAGTTTTTAAATGTATATATAAATTCTTGTTTATCATTTTTCATCCTTGTGTACAATGCAACATTTATAGTATATGCCCACACAAGTCTGCCCATAGTGCTTTTGGGGCAGACTTTTTCATAATGAACAAATTATGAAAAGAGAAAAATATTTAAATATGCAAAAAATTAAGATATCTTTTCCAGTTTTCTATAAATTACAGCTTACCTATGGATGTGATCTCTATGTAAAAGCAACATACATACTGTATTTGTAATAATGTATCAAATTGAGGGGGGAGTTTCTTATAAGGCCACCCAAGCTGTATTTTTATGAAAAATATTTCACTGTGTGCTTTCCACCTTTTGTCAAAGCATTCATTTTCCTTTATATGGTTGTCTTCAGTGAAGAAAACTATGTTCTGACATGTAAGGAGTACACCTGCCCTGTAGCAACATGATTAAAGGCATCTAAATGCAGAGGTCAGGACAGGCACCCGGGCCTCTTTGGCAATGTGTCCCCAGAGAGGAGCAGGACCTGTTGTTCCATGCTTCTTAAAATGAATTACACAACTGCTTTTCTTTACTGAGGGTCAAAGAACATCCTAAAGAAGTTTAGGCTGTAATCACATTTTTTAAAAACAAACAAACATGTGATGGAGAGTTGTTTAACCTCTGCCTTCTTTATACAGAGTTTCTTTGCCAAGGAACTGCAGAATCAGGCAAAAACAAAAAACAAAAAAACCAGACCTTGGAATTAACACATTTCAAGTGATGTAGGAACATAGTTACCTGTAAGTACTTGCTCTTTCTGGGCAAAGGAAGGTATAATGAGACTTCATTTTGAGATAAGATTATGAACAGGAACAAAATTACATTATGGTGTAAAAAAGTAACTTCTAGTTACTTTCAAATTACTTTTGAAGGGCAATTGAAGTCATTTTGGAGCCATTTTGTCAGGACTTCAAGTATAATGTCATTATCTTATCAGTTCTAAGGTTTTATTTTAAATAAAAAGTAATGCAAAATAAAAAGTGTAGCAAGTAATGTAATGAGTTTCTGGTTCAGGTCTGTAATGAGTACCAAAAATGACTTACTCTTCAAAAATTGTAAATAGTAATAAGAATTAAATTGTGGTTTAAAAATAACTTTCCAAGCTCCAGGTAAAAGTTTGTTACTTTTTGATGCCTCAAGAAATACTTTTATTTGTAGTGCACAAAGCATGCGTTGAGGTAGCGTACAGGATCAGTCCTGATACAGCCACCAGATCTATGGACTTACCGTAAAAAGCAGGAAATAATGTAGTTCCATTCTCTATCATTACATAAGCTGGAAGGTTCTGTGTAAAGTTTCACAAGTTTCTTCCTCCAGGGAGAAAGTCATAAATGAAAATGATGCTCTCCTTTGGTACAATACCTGAAAATAAATTCCAAAGGTCTAATCATGTTAATCTATTGTAACGGTTTAATTTCCATCTGATCTGATTGTCTATAATTCTTCCTCCCCCAACTCAACCCAAAGCACACTGGGAATTCTTGACAACACTTCATATATCTGATGAACTAGACCAGTGGTTCTTAACCTTTGTTACTCAGATGTTTTTGAACTGCAACTCCCAGAAACCCCAGCCAGCACAGTTGGTGGTGAAGGCTTCTGGGAGTTGCAGTCCAAAACTCCTGAGTAACCCGAGGTTAAGAACCAGTGAACTAGACTATAGTAAGAACTTGTTTTACAAATGTTACTGCCAGAAATAGACAAGATGGCATCCCTCTCTCATTCCATGTATAGAAAATGACTCAACTGCCATTTGAAAATTAATTAAGTTCTGGCAAAGGGGTAGCATCTTCCACTATTCCTGAAGGCAGCAGGCCATTTTAGGGAATCAGGAGAATCTGTGTGACCTACATACAGCTTCATCCCCCCAACAGAAGATAACAGCTGGGAGGCTCAAATGAAACAGCCAAATAGCTGCTTTTGCTACCCCCCAGCATGAGCTACCTGAAGCAGTTGCTTCTCTCTGCCTCATACCAAGCCAAAACCAGCTATAGTCCATGAAAATTTACACTCTAATGAACAACTCAAAATAAATAATGTATGTTGTCTACAGCAGAGATTCACGGTCTCTGGCCTCCAGATGCTTTGGACTTCAGCTCTCAAAACTGTGGATTATTAGCCATACTCCCTAGGAGTTTCTAGTCCAAAACATTGCTCAGTGGTGGTGGTGAGTTCAGTTCTCTACTGTGCCTCCTTGACAGGGGCTGGACTGAATGATCCATAAGGTAGCTTCCAGCTCTGCAGTTCTAAGATTATTAAGATTATCTGGAGGGTCAAGAGTGGAGAGCTACCGATCTCCAGCAAACCTTTTTTGTTTTAGATGGTAAAGAAAGAGAGTTGAATGTCATCTACGTATTGGTGACATCAGAGCTCCAAAACTCTGGATAGCTTCTTCCAGTAGTTTCTTGTATATATTAATTAATGGGACAACAAAACAGAACCCTGAGGGACACCAACAGCCAGGGCATTGACCAGCAGCTTCCCAGTACCACCTTTGGAGTTTTCCCTTCTAGGAAGGACCTGAGCCACTGTAAAACAGTGCCTCCAGGTCCCATCCCAGGGAGACAGCCAAGAAAGATTCCATGGTTGATGGTATCAAAAGCCACTGAGAAGTTCAGCAGAACCAACAAAGACACATCTCCCCATGTCCAGTTCCTGGTGTAACTCACCCACCAAATCAACCAAAACAATCTTCATCCCATTTCCAAATCTGAAGCTGGACTGAAATGGATCTAAGTAATGCATCTTGTTCTGAAATGCCTAAACTATTTCTGAGTCCCACGAATAGTTGGTAGAAAACTACTGCTCTAGGAGAGTCACAGAGTCCTTAGGAGAACACAGCAAAATTTTGTAGGGAAAGAAGTTTCAAATCTCTTCTGATTTCACTGCTCCTACAAGCACTTTCTTTCTCCAACACTTGGATTATAATTGTTTTCTGCACTTCCTTGGAGGAACTGCTTCTATTGTGATTGTTCCCCACACCCCAGCTCTCCTAGGATCATGCCAAATGATGAAGTCATTGTTATCAGGATCACCTGCTGACTCCCTTTGCTGGGGCAAAGCACAGAGGCCACTCCCTTCCCTGTATCATCTCCTTGAAGCCCGCTGTACCTGAAGACATGCTGAGTAACCATGCAGGGAGGTTGAATGAGAAAAAAGTGACATAGTCAAGCCAGACCTTAACTTCACCTATGTATAAGAAAAAGGAGGAATTAATAGTTTGAGTTACTCCTGGTTTTCATTTTCCATGTCTCCTATGGGCAGAATGCTGACTGTACTCCAAAGACTATAAAAATTAAGCTGAGATTATTGTCTCCAAGATGGAGAAGCCAAATCCAAAGTACATTCCATATAATTTTAAATCATTAGGTTCTGTTTGGGTTCTCCCTGTAACTGCACTTTTAAAACTCTGCCCGTCCTCACTGGAGATCAGGATAAAATGCATAAAACCCTCAATGTCAGCACAACAACCTAATGAAATGGGTTGAGCTAAGAAGAGCATGCCTATAACCACTTTAAGAACTTGGTGGCTGAATGAGGATTTAAACATAAGTGCTCCTGATTTAAGTACAGCACTCAAACATTTTCCAAGTTAGAACATCACACTCCTTCAAAGGCTGTGGGGTGTATTGAGTAATTCTGCTTTAAAACTGTTGTTCTGATCAAAAGAATAGCATGATCCTTGTTATTTGAAAATTTTCTGGAGGTAATTTTTCTCCATGTTAGAAAAGCAGAAATTGTTCTGCTTACAAAGACTTCCATGACAACAGGAGACCTGCCAAATAATCAAGAGAGAGCAAGCAGTTTCAAACTGTTAAGGGGAGAAGAGAACTCAAGGGCATGCTGTTTAATTGTATTTCTTTATAGTATTTGTACTTTGGTTAGCACCAATTAAATGCAGATTTACCACACAATGTTAAGAAGCATTGCTTAACTGGAGAGGATGGATGTCCAATGAAGAAGTACTGAAGTGAAAGAATAAAGATATATTAAAAAACCACATAAAAGATATAAAACACATAAAATGCAGAAAGCTATAATACTTTGGTTACAAAATGAGAAAGAGAAAATAAAGGTTGTTAAAACTGATATTGTCGGGTGAAATAAATGGAAAAAGGAATGAAGAAGGGAAAGAGCCGATCGGCAGAGGAATTTTAGAGACTGGTGTGGATGAATTACCCAAAGTCAAAATAGCTGTGATGAAAAATAGCTGGAGTTAAACTGATGGAGTTAAACCATCAGTTTAACTCCACTGCCCTAATTAGCACTCCAGAAGGAAAACTTTTCTCCCTGTACAGGCATAACTCTCTGCCCAATTATTAATGTGATACCAGCCCAATTGTATGCACATTTTATCATAGATAAGTCTTATTGGCTTCATTAGGGCCCCAAAACAAGTCACATGCATAGGATTACAACCCTTGAGTGTTTAAATTTCAGGTATTCTCTTTGCGAAGTTTACTGGTGACACTTTATTAACTGCTGTTTTGCAGAGCCAGGAGATCCAGTCAATTAACAGAAACAGCAGAGTCTTGTAGCATCTTAATGACTTTCTGGATACAACTTACTTTTCCAAATGCTTCTCCAGGGCAGCCTCACACAGAGTGCATTAGTTTCATCTCAAATAAAATAAGGTATGAATGATCAGAGCATTTACTAAAAAGCTGTAATGTTAATGCACCAGGATTCAGGTTCACTCTTATCTGCTTGCCATACTGAAGTTTTTGTCTGCAGATAGAAAGGAACACATTTAGTAGTAGGTGAACTCAGATGTATTATACAGACACCTTATCAACAGTTCTGGATTTTAAAGGGCAAGAAGCACTTTCCAAACCCAGGGGCAACTACTATTAGTTTGATTCTGACTTCTCAGATGAGCAGAGTTTTTTTCCACTAGAGTCAAGTAAAGGCTAGTATCTGTGGAAATATGTAAAATCACAACCGCAGCAGTATAAAGAAGGGATTAAAAACAAGGGTGTGGTAATTGATCAAATGATGTTATAGGAAAATGTGTTTTAACAGACCTAAGATACAAAGCCTCTTCTCAAATGTTCTCTGATAAAGCAAGGGGATCACTATATTAACTCCTTATACATTTTATTCATAGTAGTGAAGAAAATTTCCTTTCAGATCTAATGGTCACTGCATTAAAAAAAACTTGTCTACCACACCTATGTATATAGAAACGTAATTAAGGTGGGTTACAAAGAATGATCTATCACTCAACAATAAAACAATGCAATACAAATAATTTAGAGAAATGCTAAAAGCAGTGGCAACTTTAAACTAGTAATGTGGTTGTCTGCCATTGACAACTATAGATGGCAAAATGGCAAAGTGTAGTCAGATGTGAGCCTGCAGAAACATATGTTCAGCTTGCTGCTGCCATATGCTACCAAAAAGTAATGAGGCCTATAAAAATGTCCCAGGACTCATAATGCAAGCTAAACTGACAGTAAAAAAGTAAGCATGCTAACACAACGAGGAAAACTGATATCAGAAAGCAGCCATAAAACCCTGTTTCCTTTACTTTAGATTTACCAAGGAAAACCCATGTAGTTTAAGAGGCAGTTCTATACTGGGTGTCTTCTGTTCTGTCAAATCTGTTTCTAGGCTGATTAACGCTGCACTCTCTGTCATTGTCACTCCTCCTGTGCAACTAATAACTGTAAGAGAGCCATTCTTCTGCCTCACACAGGAGGACAGAGTTTCTACCTTTCCTGAAAATAGTCACAGTAGGAACCTTCACACTGTTTGCTTTGTTTGGAAGGAGATTGACCTAACAATGTTGCAGTGTGTAGAATGCACACATACACACAAACTGCTAACTTGCTAATAAATTGTAACTTGGAAAATTCCTATTATACTTAAGGGGGCTTTTCCCCTTCTGGTGGGCATTGTAAGATAATGCTGACTTAGGCACTGCAAGGCTATAAAGCAGAAATGGGCTATTACTTTGAGCGTTCATTAAGGCATAAATTATTCTGAGGTTTTGGTGAACTTTCAGGTTTTGTTTTTGCACAAGGTTTTGTTTTGTGCAATATCTGAGAAAATTTTATTGTATCATACATTAAAAATGCCCTGAAGAGCTATTTCCCATTGTTTAGATTTACTTCTTCCTTCAGTCCGACTAACCAATAAGGAATGCATGTATCTTTTTTACTTCGGTTGCTTTATTTCAGTTTATTTAATTTAGCAACTGCCCACAACTTTGTTATAGCTTGGATACATGTCATCATATTTTGGGAAATGACAATTTAGTAGTATGATAAATAAATAAAGTTTGTTTGTTGGCATGTGTGTGTGTATTTTAAACTACCCCAATATTTGTTTATTACTTGGATAATCTCCTGAATTTTAAAAGAGGAAATAGAAAGAACCCTACAATTTCTAGATATTAGAGACCTATTTAAACTAAAAATGTTTTCTTTGAGGGGGCAGGCTTGATATTATGATACTATGAGCAAAGCATGCAATTGAAGTGACTTTGGACAGAAGCTGACAAGAGTGAGAATCAAAGGCAAGGCTATATCTATACTACAGGCTCAATTTGGTAAAAATTGTCATTTCCTGCTAGGAACTGTGGTTTGAAGGGAGATGATTAAGGACCACTAATAGAGAATTATTGTCACTCCCACTAAATTTCAGTTCCCTGTATTCTTTAGGAGAAACCATATAAGTAGAATAAATACTGTACAAAGTTATGGTAATTAATTTGTTCTTATTGTGCATTCAGGTGACATGCAGAGGGAGCATATCAAATATATAATTCAGTATGTAGAGAATCTTGCAATAGAGTACAGTGGTGCCTCGCATAGCGAGGTTAATCCGTTCCAGATTAACCCTCGCTATGTGAAAACATCGCTGTACGGAACGCTGTACGGAATGCATTAAACGATGTTTAATGCGTTCCAAATGGGCAAAAAACTCACTGTTCAGTGATGTTTCCAGGGTCCGGCAGCCATTTTCGCGCCCTCGGTAAGCGAGGGCAGGGCGCAAAAATGCTGCACGCGGCCATTTTGGGGCTTCCGGTGGCCATTTTGGAGCCGCCAAACAGCTGATCCGTGGGCATCGCTTTGCGAAGATCGGTAAGCGTTTCGCTTACCGATCTTCGCAATGCGAGTTTTGCCCATAGGGGCCATCGGTATGCAATCGCATTTGCGATCGCAAATACCTCATCGCTATGCGATTTCGTCGTTCTACGGTGCGCTCGTTAAGCGAGGCACCACTGTACTTCATAGTTGTTGTGGGTTTTTCGGACTCTTTGGCCATGTTCTGAAGGTTGTTCTTCCTAACGTTTTGCCAGTCTCTGTGGCCGGTATCTTCAGAGGACAGCATTGTCCTCTGAAGATGCCGGCCACAGAGACTGGTGAAACATTAGGAAGAACAACCTTCAGAACACGGCCAAAGGGCCTGAAAAAACCACAACAACCATTAGATCCTGGCTGTTAAAGCCTTCGCGAATACACACTTCATATTCTGCAGTGCAAGGTTCCCAAAGTATGGTATATCAACTTCAGTCATGAAGCCTCCTAAAGTATAGGCTGAAATCCTTTTGCTTAGTGCAGTAATTCACAGTAAAGTAGGCCCATTGAATCAATGGAGTTTTTCATGAGTCAAATCTTCTGTTAGTTCCATTGATTCAAATGGTCCTATTCTAGTTGCTACAGTACTTACTTTAGCATAGTAATTCATAACTAGAGTAGGCCCATTTGAATCAATGGAACATATGATGGAGTTTGCTTATAAATCACAACTGATTCAATGGTCCTACTCCGGTGTGACTTTCTACATCACAGGAGTTTGTTTATTTTAGTTTATTTTTAACATTTGTATCCTACCTTTCTTCCAATGTGTCAAGATGGCATTTTATCTCCATAACTCCTGTGATGGGCTGGGAATGTGTGGCTGTCTCAAAGTCAGCCAGTGACTTTCATAGCCAAGCAGGGATTTGAAATGAAATCTGATTTGAACACTCTAACCATCACATCACAGTTACAGCCCAATAAAATCTGGAGAAGTACTCTTTAACCCATCCCTTCTTTTGTGCCCCTATTGCTTGTGATTGGGGCACTGATTAAACAGCCCCATTGTTTTGTACCTAAAAACAGAGTGAATGACACTGTCTGAGGTCAACTTTGTTGCTTTTTAGGTTAGTGTTTTAGTCCTTGGAGGCTGACATTCAGAGTCTTAAAATGTAGGACTATAGCTTTGGGATCCTCCAGCCAGCTCTGATTATATCGCAAATCCACTGTTCCAAGGTTCTGGATACTACTGCCATAAAACTCTGGCAATTTCATTGGTCCTATTATCACCGGGACGATGGAACATTCCAGGCCACATCTTATTTTTGTTCTCAGCCAGGAGAATGGAGTGAAAATGACACTCTAAATGCAAGCAAATATTTGTCTTTAATTATTAGGAAGGCTAGGCCCAAGGTAAACATAATACAATGGACACTGGGAGGAAAACAAAGGACCAAAAGATTGATGTCAGCCTAGAAAATGGGAGGTAGTTGACAGATTAGCTGCCTTTTCTCCTATCTTCTGTGGGAATCTAACCACTCATGTAACCATTTCTTCTGAACATTGTGAAGGAGTTCCAGTAGTAGTAGTTGGATTAAATTCTGTTTAGCTTAAGTTCATTTTAGTTACCAACAACATGTGAACAGAATCTAAGGAAGCAAATCTTTAGCCAAAATTTACAAAGCAGTGGGGATGATGAATGAAGAGAGAGAGATTGGGACAGGAGTTGGAATAATCTGAGGAAATTCTGCTTGCTTCTGTAGCACTGGATGGACATGGGCAAGGTTCTTCTCACTCACAAACTCAAATTAGGAGAGTGAGGACCAGATGTTTCAGCCTTTTAATTGAATACCTGAGTGCAATGTGATCCAGTGGCTAGGGAGGTATTAGATTTACAGCTGGGAAACCTTCATTCAGGTTCCGCCTGTATAACGGGCAAACTATGTGGTCCTGGGCAAGTCGTCTCTCCAATTGAGGTTCCCATTTGTGACAATTGCTCATAGGGTAGAAATAAAGACTGTAAAATACTTCATAGATGTAAACCTCAGTCATATGTGTATATTTGTTCACTGAATTCAGTAGGATTTATTGCCCATGTAAGCTTGCATAGAACTGGAGCATCTCAATGACCTACTGCGGCATCATATTGTACATCAGCTTAGGAGCAAGATTCAAATCCCTTGCTAGAGCCAGATGTTACTAGCTCTTGAGCCTGCCTTAGATTGTGTCTTTAAGGGCAGTTTGTTCTATAGCAGCTAGCCAATGAATGGTAAACATTTTCATTCTATGAAAATGTTCAGTCTCTGTATGATCAGAGAGGCACAATTGGTGCTGAGTTAATTTTGTTTAAACTGCAAGTTAAAACATGGTTGTTTACTAGAGCCTTTGGGATTTAAAAGATTTTGGCTTGAATAGCTTGTAAAGTTCTTTGCGATGTGTATAGTTTTTATAGTTTTCAATTGCTTAGATTGTTTTACATGTTCCAAATGGTTTAAAATTTTCTTGAACACATTTTATGTTCTAAACTATGTAATTGGTTTTAAACTGTTCTTGTTGTAATCCATCCTGAGATCTCATGATACAGAGCTGGATATAAATATTATAAATTCAGAAATAAAATTGGCATTTATTTTAGCTGGTTGGCAGGCCTACAATCAACTCTAAGGGTGTTATTGATGGTGGTGCCCAGACTTTGGCAGATTGTCCACAG